ATATATATATATATATATATATATATATATATATATATATATATATATATATATATATATATATATATATATATATGTATGTATATGTATGTATATGTAAAGCCCTCTCTCTCGGTTTATAAATAGTACATATATATATATATATATATATATATATATATATGTATGTACATGTGTACAGCTAATTCAAAAAGGTTGTCCTTTGCAAACCTTAAACTCTAAATCTTAAACCTTAGACCATGCAAAGCATATAAATGGGAGCATCATTTAATCCGTTTAGAAATCATATATGTGGCCCATTTCTTAGAGACATGGTTCATAGCTGCAATATTCAATTACTAAGCATGCTCCCATTAAGCTTTTTAAGGTTTAAGGTTTGCAAACAACAACCTTTTTTGAATTGGCTGTACAGGGTGTATAAAAAAACATGCAACCTCGGAATTTCCCAAGAAATCGGCATTGTTTTAAGGACAAAAGATTCTAGGTGCCTGGGAATTTAAAATAGCACAACTGTCAAAATTACTGCACACGCGAGTGCATAAAGCAAAATTTATGCATTTATTTAACAATGCAACAACAGTATAATATAATATATTAGCGATTCGACTTTTATGCATGCTTAAGAATTGCAAAGTTGATTTCTTAGGAAATTCCAAGGTTGCGTTTTTTTTTATACACCATGGTACATATATCGTATAGATTGTGTTTGTAAACCAGGTCATCAACATGATTAGCTCACGAGCTCATGCTGTGTTGATGTTCCCGAGCCGTTTTGTTCTTATAACTGTCTATTAGTAGTGTTGGATGTCAAAGCTAATAAATCCATTCACCACCAGCACTCTCCATTGACAAGTAAAATTATCTGGTGTTAAACAGAGTAAAATAATAAAATAGGGCATTCCAATTAAGTTGTTAAAGGGTTACTGTCAGATACGATCGCTTCTGTGTGCAAGCGAGAAAGTTTGCCGCATGTAATATGGCAGATGTTCCCAAAGACTTACAATATAAATACCTCTTCATTATTTTAGAACTTGAACAGTTGCGAGAAAAGCATTCCCAAGTAGAAAAAGAATTAGAGAAAAGCAATAAGGTGCATATTTCAATTGATGATGTTTTAATGTGTGCCAATTACTGGGTCATTCCGACATTACCAGCTTGTTGCATGGTTGTTCTAACAAGTCTGATACACTCATGATATAACAAGAATGTTACATGGTTGATGACACAAGGTTGTAACAATTATATTGTACGTTATATCATGACTGTATCAGACTTGTTGGAACAACCATACAGCCAGTCTGATAATATCAACAAGCTAATTATAAACTGTTAACAACTTGACGTATGTAACAAGCTTGATGGCATTATCAGATATTACAAGGTTGTTCTAACAAGTCCGGTACAGTCATGATACAACAAGAATATTACAAGGTTCAAGAAGGTTGACGACACAATGTTGAGTTTTTGACTGTAGCTAACACGCTGGTTAATTAAAAATATCTAGTTTACTTACTGTCTTCACGACACTGGTAGTAATTAAGAAAATAATTTTATCTCTTTAGATTATTCAAAAAAGTAAAAATAGAAAGGTATTGTGATTCTTAGTTTATACATTATATGCACAGTCAGGGCTGCCGAGAGCTTGGCAGGGGCCCGGAGCAAATTTTTTAGGTGCAGCCCCTATTTCAAATTTTTTCCGGAAAATTTTTTTTCGGATGCCAACAACTTCTCCCCCCCCCCCCACGTCAACAACTTTCCGGACGAGTACGTTTTAATTGCTTTGCAACAACTTTGCCTCAATTTTTCATACCAAATTTCGGTAATTAGCCCAGAAAAAACAAATATCTTGCCCTTTGCGCGGAAATATTTTACCAAACAAAATGACTGGGGCCCAACAAAAGATTTCTAGGGGCCCCCAGAACATGGGGGCCCAGGGCAATTCCCCCCCTCTCGGCGGCCCTGTGCACATGCAGTAATATTATTATTGTTTCATGTGGATAAATATCAATATTGTTCTCTAGGAGTATGCTTTACTTCTGGAAGAAAATGAAGGGCTGCAGCATCAATTAAGGGTATGTACAGTACTCTGACTTGTAAAAATTACACCCACATTAAAAAACACACAACTTGTAACAAACTTCCAGTAGACTTGTACCAAATGCTGTTTCAAGAACTTGTTATCAGGATGTGTTCACATTGCTTGTTACAAGTTTGTTGACAAGTTGTCAACGGCTTGTTTGACACAACGGTTTAATTGTTACAAGTTGTTCCTGACCAACAACTTGTTATCGTCCTGCAATTCAACAACTTGTTAACACGTTGTGACTGACAACTTTGCTTTGTGTTCACTTGACAAGCTTGCTACGTACAAGTCTGTTATGAACACATCTTGCTGATGAGATTTTTTATGTACTGTACATATGGTTAAACGTACAAAGTTGTCCTTAGGTGGCAAATTTTAATAATTAAAAAAACTATAAAAATATAAATAGTTTTTATATTTATGTTAATTTTATACATGTTTTCGCTTGCTACTCTGGTTTAAATAAATTATTAAAAAGCCCAGTCGAATTGTATAAATCAAGACCCAACGTTTCGACACTCCAGTCTAGTGTCTTCATCAGGGAACTTATTTTCAAACTTTCTGATTTTATGGGCATTAAACAGAAAAAAAGTACCAAAAATAAGGAATTTTATTTGTTGTTTATCCCAATTATTTTTAAGAATTTTATGAAACTATCCATTTTTCGTTTTTATATGACCATTGAGACTAAAACTAATATATATTCACAAAAATAAAGTATATAGCATGTTTCCTTGAAAAATAAAAACTGGTATTCTGTGGTACTGTGATATTCTCTGATACATACACCTGTAAGTTAGGCTTTATTTTCAACAGCTAAGCTTTTGGCCTCATTCGAACACACACCATATGCTGTCGGGATTTTATCGTCTTTTCTCATTATTTTTACCAGGATCACGAGGAAGACTTCAAACTGCAGAATAAGACACTGCTTGAAGAAGTTACAAGGGTAGGCATGAAATTTGAACGACAATAAAATTGTATCGTTTCTTTAAAACATGTCTCTAATTCATATTCATAAAGATCGAAGATGAGAACAAGAAATTATTAGATGATATAAAAAATCTCAAATCTGGCAAAGAAGGGGACAGCACTTCAACTCACGAATCTGAATTAAGAAGATTGAAAGCTGAAAATGCTGTTCTTCAAAAAAGTCTTAAATGTGAGTATTCAGTCAGACAAGTTGGGCGTCAGGTAGCCATAAGTTTGTCAGAGGGTTGGCTGGTCAGGCTAGAGGGTTGGTCGGCTGGTCAGTTAGCCAGAGGGTTGTATGTACAGTTGGCCATGGTCAGTCAGTTGGCCAGAGAGCAGGGCTCGAAATAGCGGGCTGCCAATGGCCAAGAGCACGCCATATTTTAGAAATGGCAGGCAAAAACAAATTTGAACTTACAAGTGAAAAAAATGGCAGGTGAAATTCTATAGATATATTTAATTTCATTTGCTAACCACAACTCATATATACTAGATCATTTAGTTGACTAAATACGTTTATATTTAAATGTAAATCCAACTTTACTGTCGTAAAATAGACAAGTTTAAAAATAATAAAAATGCAGATCATGAAAATATTGATTTTTACAATATGACTCATATGAGACATCGCCATTTTGGCAGTTCAATGAATAAAAATGGCAGGCTAAAATTTATTTCACCTGCCAAAAAATTTTAGACTGGCAGGCCATATTTTTTTCTACTTCGAGCCCTGCGGAAGGCCATTGGATTGGTCAGTGTGTTGGCCTGGGGGTCATTATGAGGGTTCATCAGTCAGTCAGTTGGCCAAGAGGGTCATAGGGTCATAGGTTGGTCTGAGGATCGTAGGGTTGACTCGGCTGGTCAGTCACAATCAGTGTCTGATAATTATGTATTTTTATTCCATCACAGCAACACAAGCTCTGCATGAGGCTGAACTACAAAAATCAAATGGCAAAGACAACCTGCAAACACCCGCAGTCTCTAGAGAACCAGATGCGGACGGTGAAATCCCTGACACCCTAAAAACGGGCGGAGATGCCGTTACAACTACGGACAACGGAATTCAAGGACAGCAATTAACTCTGAATGAAATTTTGGACGAATTCGCCCAACAGATTAACTTAACTTTTGAAACATTTTGTAATGATTTTGAACTTCAATGTAAAAGGTCTGAAGGGCAAGAGGGGGAATCTGTGGATAATGACGAATCTGATGCTAAATCAGGGGATACAAATGGTGATGAAAGGGGTCATTGTACATTTGTGCAACTTGAAAGTTTGAAGGAAAATGTTCAAAGTGAAATTTCCACCTTGCTACAAAACAAAGGTAACAATTATGTTGGTTTGTACCTCTATCAGTTTTAAACTAAGAGCTCCAGTAAGGATCATGTCTTATTGATCCAGTGTTACTCCAGGAGGAACCTAAACTAAACTAACTTTATTTACACTGGATAGCTCTATCAGTTCTAAACTGTTCTCCCTAGAGGTCCAGTAAGGATCATCTCTTATTGACCCAGTGTTACTACAGGAGGAAACCTAAACTAAACTAACTTTATTTATACTGGATAGCTCTATCAGTTCTAAACTGCTCTCCCTAGAGGTCCAGTAAGGATCATCTCTTATTGATTCAGTGTTACTACAGGAGGAAACCTAAACTAAACTAACTTTATTTATACTGGGTAGCTCTATCAGTTCTAAACTGTTCTTCCTATAGAGGTCCAGTAAGGATCATCTCTTATTGATCCAGTGTTACTACAGGAGGAAACCTTAACTAAACTAACTTTATTTATACTGAATAGCTTTATCAGTTCTAAACTGTTCTCCCTAGAGGTCCAGTAAGGATCATCTCTTATTGATTCAGTGTTACTACAGGAGGAAACCTAAACTAAACGAACTTTATTTATACTGGGTAGCTCTATCAGTTCTAAACTGTTTTCCCTAGAGGTCCAGTAAGGATCATCTCTTATTGATTCAGTGTTACTACAGGAGGAAACCTAAACTAAACGAACTTTATTTATACTGGGTAGCTCTAT